CTCTCCTGCAGGCTGAACAGCCCCAGAGCTCCCAGCCTTTCACCACCCGGGAGATGCTCCAGGCCCCAACCGCCTTTGTAGCCCTCTGCTGGGCGATCTGCAGCAGTTGACAGTCTGCCTTGAACCAGGGAGCCCGGAACCGGACCCGGTGCTCCAGATGTGGCCCCATAGCGCAGAGCAGACGTGAGGAGAACCTCCCACCATCTTCTGGCCACACTCTTTGTAAGGCCCCCCAGGGTACTGCTGGCTTTCTCGGCCACCGGGACACAGCTGGCTCATGTTGGGCTCCTGGCTATCAGGAATCCCAGGTCCATCTCAGCGGGCTGTCAAGATGGAGGCAACTTGACATGAACCTGGACTTTGCCAGCGGTCGGGTGGGGGCAAGGGGAGGCTCCGAAGTGGAAGAAATCAGGCTGCACGGACCCCGAGGTGTGCGCAGGGGAGGGGAGTTGAGGGGCAGCACAGGGAAGGCAGGCAGCTGGGCAGCCGAGGGCGTGCATCTCCGCAAACCGCGTGCGAAGGTGGGTTGCGTTGCGAGCACAGCAGTGGAGCAGCTGCCGGGCCCGGCGGGGTGGGGACACCGAGCATCCGGGCTCTGAACGCCGTCACATACGGGCACTGGGCTGCCCAAACGCTCCGCTGCACATCAGGCTGCGGAAAGGGAAATCTAACGCCCCGCACACAGCCCGGAGGAACCCCGCCCCCAACGCGAGTACATCCGCGCCGTCCGACCGAGCCGAGCCTGTCACTTCCGGGAGTTGACAAAATCACTTCCGGTAGCTGCACAACTGCTTCCGGGAGCAGTCCATATCACTTCCGGGAGCCGCCGCATCCACTCCCTTTGGACCGCCCATTTCTGTGTGAGCGCTGTGCGCTGTTACTTCTTTCAGCATGACGGCAACGCTTCAAGGTGCGCCCCGCAATCTGCCAGCCCCCCCCGTGGCGCCTCCCAGCTCAACGCCCCCACCCAACCGCTGGCAGAGTCCAGGTTCATGTCAAGCCCAACATGAGCCAGCTGTGTCCCGGTGGCCGAGAAAGCCAGCAGTACCCTGGGGGGCCTTACAAAGAG